TTGGAAAATAAGTGCCGTTCATCATGTGTATTGTGCGGATGCAGTTTTTGCCTCTCCCCAGATTTGAAAATTTCCATCGTGTAGGTTCATTCTACTGGCACGTAGCTTGCCCCATTACCTTCCATTTGACTTTTGAAGTCGGCTGCAGTGGTTTTATCGGTGGTGATTTGGCCTACTCTGCTATTCTTGAGACCCAGGTGATTCATTGTCCTGCCGGTTCTCCATTGTTGTTGTAGGCTGCCCTCCCGTTTATTGAAGCTGGGTGGCTGTGTGTAGCCTTCCTCGTCGGCCTTGTACTTTGGAGACGCTAGTTGCCACACCGACTACGTTGTTGTCACGGACAAGCCCAGTGTGCTGTTTGCGCACCTGGCTTGGCATTCACACTTCTGTTGGACGCTGGGACTAGTGAGAGGCGTGAGAGGCGCGCGCTTTTGAAACCACGTCAACACAGCTACAGAGCAATCATGTCGTTCGAGGGGATGGTGCGGGCCTTGGAGGCTCTAGCTGGAACGCCAGCAAATGCTGCCTGCCTCTCTGGAACGGAGGTATGTTAGTGCGAGTGCTGTCAGGGATTGCGCACATGTACAGCCTCGGCATAAGGGGTACATGGATACAGCTAATGGGGTCGTTTTCGGCACTTGTGCAGTTGGTTGTGAGACTTATCCACTCAACCCCACCGTTAGGCGCTGCATCTGCCGCTAGGGTTTATCGGGTGTTAGCGGCCGTCGTGAGTTCCCTTCGGGAACGGACACGATAATTTACTTACTTTTTCCAGCCTCGACCTGTGTTTGAGCTGGGAGAGCTGTCGGAGTCACCTGAGAGTGTTGCTTCCAGCGTTGGCGTTGGTACCGGTCAAAAGTCGCCGACACAGCTCCCCGCACCGGACTCTGTTGGCATCGTAAATGCAGACCACCTCATGAAACAGTTCCGCACCTGCATGAGCGATCTTTTAGAAGAGCGCATGGAAACGGTCCTAGATTCCATTGCTCGTATCCGTGAGGAGGTGTCAGCCGTCAGTAACTCGTTCAATGGCTTGGATACTCGACTCAATATTCTTGAAAGAAGGCTTGAGAAGACGGATACCGGACCCTTGGAGAATAACCCAATACTAGTACAATACTAGTATTAGATAAACCTTGTTATAGTTCACACATGTTGTTAGTTTGACAGCAAGAAACAAGGTGGAGTACGGACCGGGGCTCTGCCAACCGTGGATCATGGTTGTAGTAAGGTCACTGATTTCGAACACAGTGTCCTGTACCTTGCTTGTATCATGCTGTCAAACTAACAACATGAATATAGAAAAACTGGTAGGACGCATCACGCAGCTTCATAAATAAAAGTTTGGTTTCGAGCAACACTGGCTCACACTCAATCACTGCTTTTCACCAGAAAAATATTTTATTTTAACTTTTCGGTCATGAAATAACCATCATTATTATTTCATAACCGAAACGTTGAAATAAAGTATTTCCTGGTGAAAAGCAGTGATTGAGTGTGAGCCAGTGTTGCTCACAACCAATATTTTTACTTCCTCCGCGTCATTAAAAATGGTCGCTTCGCACATCGCAATGTTTGTGACTTGCCTCGTCTTAGTCAGACTGTCGGAATCGCTGTTTTCTGTGTTCGAACATTGGTGCGACCCTTTCTGCGCAATGCCTACTTGTTACTGAAGCCGTGGTGGTCTCGGACCTTGTCGGAGCTCTCTTCCGCACCAAGAAAATTCATCGCGCTCCGCACTATTCCGCCCCAGAGCGCATATCGTTTTTCTGGAGTTCGTGCTGTCCCACATCACTCCTTGGGCATTTATCAAGACTGAAAGCTCGGGTATAAGAATCCTGGTATCTCTCCTGAATATGAAATGCTGAAGTTGACGATGGCAAGAACAAAGTGTTCTCAAATTCCAAAAATGCGCTACTTGTGGTGCATGTTGCTGCGTAGGTAGCAGGTCTGAAAACACCAACAAAATCAGCGAAGCGATAAAGAAAGTCCGATCTGCGTTTACGCGATTCGGTTTTGACCACCCTCCCCCCTCCCCCCTGGTTTGCGTCCGCTTCTGCAGCTGTGCGTCTGCGTTTTAACGCGCTCGCGATAACGTCACGTGATGGCATTTCCTAGGCGACCGTCAAAAACCGTCAAAAACCGACGAAAACGCAGACGCAAACGCGACTTTTGAACGCAGTGTGATACGGGCTTTAGAGCGCAAGCGCTGTTGAAGCATGCTAACATTATGGCATCGGCAACCGTGACAATAACATCGTAGGTGAGGATATTGATAATTCTACAAGACTGGATAGCCTCTTCCGTTGTTCACGCTTGCCAGTCCTGGAAGCCACGTTTACATTCTCACGTTTACATTCTCAGCATGAACTGCTTGACGGTGAGATCCGTATACACGCTCTTGATGCTCATGCATTGTCACCAACAGCATGTCTCACACATTACCAATGCCAGAACGAGCAAATAGCAGCCGGCTGAGCTGGAAACTATCGTGGTGTCTTCGGCAGATCCAGATCGTTCCAACAAGCCATAGATCGTGAAAACCCGTCAATGTGGAGTGACAATAAAAATTAATAAATTTAGTTCTGAACCTGAGCATGCAGGTGAGTGCATTGTGAGTTTGCGTTCACCATGGCGTGGCCAGCACCGCGGATCAAGGCTTGGCAGGGAAAGGGTTAATACCTATGGAGCTAAAAATAGCTGTGAACACAGTCCAATATCTGGGGAAATTCATCCCACCCCGGCTGCTATTTGATCGTTCTGGCTTTGGTTATGTGTGAGACATGCTGTTGGTGACAATGCATGAGCATCAAGAGCGTGTATACGGATCTCACCGTCAAGCAGTCCATGCTGAGAATATGCAGTCAATGGTGAGAATATAAACGTGGCTTTCAGGACTGGCAAGCCTGAACAACGGAAGAGGCACTCCAGTCTTGTAGAATTATCTATACGCTCACCTACGATGTACGTGTCACGGTTGCCGATGCCATAATGTTAGCATGCATCAACAGCGCTTGCGATCTAACCGTTCAGTAGGCACAGAAGGTTGTTGACTCACGCTGTTATCTGGCGTTCATGAGATGTTTGTCGCGCCGGAAACGGAGCGTCTCTGTGAGTTTGGAAGCTTAGGCTCTTTTCACACTACGTTCAAAAGTCGCGTTTGCGTCTGCGTTTTCTTCGGTGTTTGACGGTATGTATGTATATTTTTATTTGAATTCGCAAGTACACACGGGCTACAAGCCCAATTACATGGAAGCGAATGCCATAATGAGGCCAATTAAGAAAAAAAGGTGGAGGAAGGAGGAGGATGGTAGCAAAGCAACAGGGAGGACAATTCAGGACCAAAATCAACAATTGCACAAATGTACGGTCGCCTAGGAAATTCCATCACGTCACGTTATCGCAGCCGCAGACGCAGACGCAAATTTGGGGGGAGGGGGTTGGGGTGGCAAAACCGAATCGCGTAAACGCAGATCGGACTTTCTTTATCGCAGTACTTCCTGCATAGTTTTTGAGTGTTTTCAAGTGATTACCAAGTGTGCTTTTAAAATCTTCATTTCCATCTAGTTGCTGAGCTCATGAGGCCGGCGAGGGTACTTCTTCTACATGTACTGATTGATTGATTTTGGATTCGCGAGCATGGAGCTGATGCGAGCTCGTGGCTGAGGTCTCGCTGACTAGTTGGCGGCGGCTAGCCTAGTTGGACGATGTGCCTCAACAACGGAACTGCCAACCCAACACAGACAACGCAACGGTTCCAGTCTTCCCATCGACTCCCATTCCCCCAGCGCCACTGGCAAAGGACATAGCAGCAGAAACAGAACACTTCTCGATCCCAGGAAAATAAATTCAACATCCACGGCCACCTGGAGATCGATTCCCCACATTTTTGTATTTTCCCGCGCGCACAGATTTTGAGGCAAACGCTGACAATCAAAAGTATAGTATGATATCCCGTCTTGCGTTTTCAAATCTCAAACGCAAATGTAGACGCAAACGCGACTCAAACAAACGCAGTGTGATAACGGCCTAAGTGAAGGCGAATCACGTGTTTTTCACCAGAAAAATACTTTATTCCAACGTTTCGGTCATGAAATAATGATGGTTATTTCATGACCGAAACGTTGAAATAACATCTTTTCAGGTGAAAAGCAGTGATTGAGTGTGAGCCAGTGTTGCTAGTATTGTACTAGTATCGTGTTATTCTATTAATGTATCCGTGACTTATCCCCTGCAGGGTGAACATCACGAACAGTCTACAGTCTTTCTGACATTGCCACTCGAACTTGACAATAGAAGCAGCTTTCCGTATGTGCAGTTGCATTGAGCCATGGTGTTTTTTTTCTTATTTTTGTGAATCCCTCCTGGAAGCAAATGCTGGTTTTTATACATTCGTGTAATTACTAAAATGTTTTTTGCAATAATATTATTTTTAATGTATATACATGTACATGTAGGTGAACTGCGCGCGCACATTGCGCTGACAAGACCCTAGCCTAAAACAGAAAGCTGTCGCGTAACAGCTGTGCTGCCGCACTCGCCGTCACACTGTTAGAGAGGACAGAGAGGGCAGACATGTACGATGGCAACAGCATCTCTTGGCACTATGCCGGCAGAAAAATCGGAAGAATTCGGTACTTTTTCTCGTAAGTTTCATTCATGTTTGGTATTTGGATAAAGAAATGGAGCAGAATTCGAAGAATCGCCCGCCATAAGGTTTGTATGGTTCTGCCAATTTCACTGCTTTTCGAGCAGAATCTGCCACCTTTTCAAACATTATTCACGCACCGCTACTTGGTACACACCATAAGTGCAAAGTCTCGCTTCACGAGGACGAGCAGCTTAAACCGCAGAGATCTTTGAACAAAGTACTGATAAGTGCATTTTAATATTATTATTACATACGCGACAATCGAAGCATATCATCAGGTACAAGTTTTCAAAACCCAAAGCAAAGTTCTTTTGGGTGAAAATGTATATACCTACATGTACATAGAACGGAGGAGAACAACAAAAACCACAACAACAAACATAGACTACAAAGGGCGTGTAGGTGCTATAAAAAGCCGTGGAGGTAAGGCGAAGTACGCTCCCTCCACCAGTGACCTCCTGAGCAAAGGCGCCAAACGCGCACCGTGGGGAGAGAAGAGAGAGATTGTATGTGGGACCTAGAGAGACTGAAAGAATAAGGGAAAGAGATAGAGAGATTACGTTAGCAAGTGCGTTAGAGGGAGTGGGTGAGTGGGTGAGTGAGTGAAAGAAAAGCCAGATTTGTTCAGAAAGCTAGGCCGACGAACAACCAGCAGCGTTCCTAGCAGTGGAATGGGCAAAATGTTTACTTCATTCAATACCATGACTACATCCAGGCGTGAGGGGGGCTGCAGCTACTGCATGGCTCCATTCGAATCTGACGGACAAGCCACCGAAACAAATATTTCAAGCTTTCAACGTCTTCTGAAGTCGCTATGCCTCCATACACCTGCAGAGCAAGATTTTGCAAGGACAGCGGTTCCGTACGCACTCTGACGATCGGCGTTGCTTGATCGGTATTGTGGGTCAACGTGCAACCACCTACAATATAGACGTCACCGATGGGATTTTTGAATGAGTGATGTTCATACAGTGACTCCAATGGGGGCTGGATGTGTGACGTGTTCACACAATACCAGCATAGTAAGTCAGTTTGAAAGATGAAAATGTCATTGCGGAAATTCATGTTCGTTCCATCGTACCCCAAACCACCACAGAGAACCAGTAGGGACGTCGAGCTCGGGGCCAAAGAAGCATGGCATCGCTCTGGAGGCAGTTCTCCAGTCACTGGCAAAGCACCACTCCACTCCGCGGATTCCAAATTTAATCGATGAAGATCATTTTTGAATTCCAAAGTGGAATTGCAAGCTCCGCCAAAGACGTATGCTATGTTGTTGCGATTGGTGAACGCAGGGTTATATCTTGGGTCTGGAGCGTACCCAGTGTACAGCATCTCTCTCCACGTACAGCTTCCAGTACTAGCATAATCTCCTGTGTCCAGCACATGTACTGCGTTGTTTACATATGTGCCGCTGATTATTTCCAGGTATGATGCTGGGGTTTGAACGCTCTCAGTTTGCGAGGGACGCTCCCCAACTCCACCGAACACATAGCATTCTTTCAATTCCACATTGGAACACATACCAACCCTCGACTTCGGTGTGGGCGAACTGCCGAGAGTGTTAACCAGGGAAACGGTCCGCGTACTTGGATTCAGATGGGCGACGGTATTTTGGTAGGTTACGTTTTCAGAATATATGCCGCGAAATCCTCCGAAGTAGAAAATGTCAGAACCGACAGCAGCTGCTGCACTACCCCTGACATGAAGCGGGTTAGGATTGGTTAATAACCATGCTGGCTGGTATTCGATTTGCACTGATTTGAAGTCATTTCCCGGGTCTTGATCATGTGGACAACGAGGCTTTAACGGTGGTAAATGTATGCACTGAAGTCCTTCCTCCGGACCAATCCAAGGGCAACCGCCCAAATTGTAGATCGTCGATTCGACTATGCAACTAGACTTCGTGACCAATGGGCGTTCCATTTCCAATTGGCCAAGGTTCCTGCAGACATTAACAGACATGGCTGGCTGAATAGAAGGAGCAGCAGTGAGACTGAGTAGTGACCAGCTTATATGTTTCACTTCACACTGACTAGATCTTCACTGATACTTTGTAGCTACGCTGCACTAAAGGACATTACAACACAATTGAACTATTATACGAAACCAAAGTAAGAGATAATGAGGGTGATAGCATACACCAATGTAGGCGCTAACAATTAGCTTGACGCGAAACGGGGATAGTGTCTGTATTTCACGGTACGAAAGGCGAGAATATATTCGTTTAGCATGTCCACTTATTTTAGCGTACCCAATCCTTTTGTAGGGGGTAAATATGCACAAGCGCAACCTCAAAAGGAAGAATACGAACGAAATATGGCTTCCAACACGGGCTAATAGGGAGGGTGCAAAAATGGCAGTGAAAACAGTTTAAGTTAATACGGAAGGAGCGAAAAATGGCAGTGAACATAGTCCAATGCCTGGGCAGATTCTTCCTCCTCGGATTGTTATTAATGTTGTTCGTTCTGGCCTTGGTTATGTGTGAGACATGCTGTTGGTGACAATGCATGAGCATCAAGAGCGTGTAAACGGATCTCACCGTCAAGCAGTTCATGGTGAGAATGTAAACGTGGCTTTCAGAACTGGCAAGCATGAACAACGGAGGAAGCACTCCGGTTTGGTATACTTATCAATCTGCTCACCTACGATGTATCTCTCATGGTTACTATTACTATCATGTCAGCATGTTTCAACAGCTCTCGGGATGCACTCGTTCAGCAGGCACAGAAGGACGGTGTTGTTGGATTCGGCACTATTCTTAGAACGAGAATGTTACGAAATAGTGGTTGCGACTTCGGCGATGATTTGTAAGAAAGGGTCCTCGACGTCTGTTCTCACCGTTCAACAACGACACTGACTCACGCTGTTATCTGGTGTTAACGAGGTGTTTGTCGCGCTGGAAACCGAGCGTCTCTGTAAGTCTGTATCCCTGGTGATGTTTGTGCTTGGAGAGCACTATACATGTGGTGCTCTTCAGCCACAATCTTCCTCAGCCTACGCAATGTCAACTGATGAGGGTTGACTTCCCCGAAACACTGTGTATTGAGCAGGGAGTGGTGAGTGGTGCTTTCTTGCAGGTTTGCCGAATGGACGGTTCGATGGAGTTCTCGTGTGCGATGGCAGTTGTGAGTCAGTCAAATGAGAATTCAAGTCGGGAGGAAAACCGCGAGCTCCCATGTAGGGAACAACACGCGCTTCCCAATCATCGCCGAAGTCGCACCAGCCTCTTCTTCACATTGTCGTCCCCAGCGCGGACTTGCGAATTAGATTTCTTGGAGGCAACAACGTGGTGAATGACCAACGGTCCTCAGCGCTTGTTCACCACCTCCATGAGCGACATTGGCACACGCTAATATCTTATGTGCAGGAGGGGTTGGCCGCGCAGGAGCGTCTCCGTAAGTTTGTATCCCTGGCGCGGTTTGTGCCTGGAGAGCACTCTTCAAGTGGTGCTCTTGTTTGTTTGTTTGTTTGTATACTTTATTTAAATTCGCTAATCCAAATGAGCACAAATGCTCAATGACAAGGCAGCTAATATGTTATTTTGTGTATTGAGCCGGGAGTGGTGCTTTCTTGCAGGTTTGCCGAGTGGACGGTTCGATAGACCTCTCGTGTGCTCTGGATGGCAGTCGTGACTCAGCCAGGTGAGATTTCAAGTCGGTAGGAAAACTGCGAGCTCCCCCCATAGGGAGCAACATACGCTTCCCAATTATCGCCAAAGTCGCACCACCCTCTTTTTTATATTTCCCATATAGACCGAAGTCGAGGTCAATATTTTGTTTATCACGATTACTTTGCTATAAAAAAATAAAGAGGAAGAGGGCGGATTCTGCTCGAAATGGTGGAAGATTCTGCTCGAAAAGCAGTAAAATTGGCAGAACCATACAAACCTTATGGCGGGCAATTCCTCGAATTCTGCTCCATTTACTTATCCACATACCAAACATTGATTGGATTTTTAGATTTGGATTTTTATTTATAGTGGTGACTATAACAGACAATTGCCTAATAACAATAGACCCAATCGAGGGAAAGATGCAAAAAGATATGAATAATTAATATAATAGACTACCGGTATTGGATAGGTGATCAAGTTCGAATTTTGCATAGCTGAAAGTCATAAATACTAGCGTGAAAAAGCAAGGCATTGGGGTAACAGTTTCTTAAAACGGGCGAAGTTATCCACACAGCGAGCTAGAGGGTGTAAATCATTCCACAGCTTAACACATTGGAAGGAAGCGCCATGACGGGCAAAGGCAGTTCTGAGCATGGGCAACTTAAAAGAGTGCGTGATACAAGGCTGCGCGTTGCAAGACCATTATTTAAATGCTGGAACATTTGACTTAATGTGACACTACAGTGGCCTTCCAAACAGCGGCACGTCAGATACAGTAATTTCTTGCAATACATGGATGCCAAACGATCTAGACCAAGTCTCGCAAATAAAGGGCTTGATGGGCTGCAAAAACCAGTATCGTACCAGTGTCGTACACTGAACGCAAAGCTCGCTTTAGCATTCGTTCAAGCCTACCTAACTGGGTTAAGGAAAGGCCAGCAGTAAAACAATTTGATGCATATAGAAAATCTGGCAACACTAGGCACTTTACAAAGGTTTCTCGGCAAGTCAGCGGAATATTGTGTCGATTTCGGAACAGAATACCAATTTTACTGGCAAGTTTGGTGACCATACAATCCACTTGAGTCCTCCAAGAAAGATCCTGGTCCAAATGTATTCCAAGGTACTTTGCACATGTCACTTGCTTGAGCTGCATTCCATGACAGTAGACTGCAAATTGGTGGTCAGTAATATGTGGCGTAGACAGGAAGAGCACTTGTGTCTTCCGGGCATTCAGAATTAAATTGCGGTTTGACAGCCATGTACTAATGGCTGAGACAGCTGCAGACAGGGAGTTGCTAAGCGCATTCTTCTGCGTACCGCAAACATACAATAGAATATCGTCAGCAAATTGAATAACTTTCACACAACACTCGGAGGCAATGGACTGGATCGAACTGGATCGAACGAACATAGAGTACAAAAAGCAGCGGACCAAGAACAGAGCCCTGGGGAGCGCCACACATGCAGGGGAATGGATGAAACTTACCAGAAAAAAGCACCGAATTCTGCCAATTTGTCTGCCGGCAGAATCCGCTGGACCCTAGATAGAGAGCTAGGTGTGTTGGTTCCAGAAAGGTGGAAAGAAGGAGGGAAAGAGATAGAGAGCTAGGTTAGCAATTTCGTTTGAGTGCAGTTAGTGAGTGGGTGAGTGAGTGAAAGAAAAGTCAGATTTGTTTAGAAAGCTAGGCCGACTAACCCCAAGCAGCGTTCCTAGCAGTGAAATAGGCAAAATGTATACATCATTCAATGACATGGCTACTTCCAGGCATGAGGGGGACTGCAGCTACTGCATGGCTGCGTTCGAATGTTACGCAAGACGCTGCGAAACAGGACTCTCAAGCTTTCAACCTCTTCTGAAGTCGGTATGCCGGCATACACCTGCAAAGCAAGATAAGATTCTGAAAGGACGGCGGTTCTGTGCGTAACCTGACGATCGTCGATGCTAGATCGTTATTGTGGGACGACTTGTAGCCACTTACAATATAGACGTCACCAACGAGATCCTGACATGAATAATGTTGACTCCGTGCCTCAAATGGTGGCTGTATATGTGACGTGCTCAAGCAATACCAGCATAGTAAGTCCGTATGAAAGATGAAAATGTCATTGCGGTGACTCAGATTCGTTCCATTGTACCACGCACCACCACAGAGAACCAGTCAGGACGTCGAGGTCGGGGACAAAGAAGCATTGCATCGCTCTGAAGGCAGCTCTCCAGTCACCGGCAGAGCACCACTCCACTCCGCTGACCGCAAATTTAATCGATGAAGATGATTTCTTAATTGCAGTAAGGAATTGCGAAATCCGCCAAAGCCGTATGCGAAGTTGTCGCGATTGGTGAGCGCAGAAGCAAATCTTGGGTCTGGAGCGTTTCAAGTACACATCATCTCTGACCATGTACAGTTTCCAGTACAAGTGTGTACTAGCATAATCTCCTGTGTTCAGCACATGTACTGCGTTGTTTACATATGCGCCGGTTATTATTTCCAGGTATGATGCTGGGTTTATAACGCCCTTAGTTTGCGAGGGACGCTCCCCAACTCCCCCAAACACATAGCATTCTTTCAATTTCTCATTGGAACAGTTCAACACATACCAACGAACGCCTGCGGTGTCGGCGAACTGCCCAGAGTGTTAACCAGCGAAACGGTCCGCGTACTTGGATTCAGACGGGCAACGGTATTTTGGAAGGTTTCGTTTCCACATGTTCCGAGAAATCCTCCGCAGTAGAAAATATCAGAACCGACGGCAGCAGGTGCAGCACAACATACGTGAAGCGGGTTGGGATTGGTTAAAAGCCATGCTGACTGGTATTCGATTTGTACTGATTTAAAGTCATTTTGCAGGTCTGGATCATGTGGACAACGAGGCTTAAACGGTGGTACCTGTATGCACTGATGAATTCCCTCTAGACTAACGCAAGGGCAACCGCCCAATGTGTAGATCGTTGAGTCGACTATGCAACTAGCCCTAATGATCCACGGATGTTCCGTTTCCAGGTCCAATTGGCCAGGGTTCCTCCACACACGAACAGACATGGCTGGCTGAATAGAAGGAGCAGCAGTGAGACTGAGTAGTGAACAGCTTATATGTTTCACTTCACACTGACTAGATCTTCACTGATACTTTGTAGCTACGCTGCACTAAAGGACATTACAACACAATTGAACTATTATAGGGAACCAAAGTAAGAGATAATGAGGGTGATAGCACACACCAATGTAGGCGCTAACAATTAACTTGACGCGAAACGGGGACAGTGTTTGTATGTGACGGTATGAAAGGCGAGAATACAATTATTATTGTTAAGCATGTCCACTTGTTTTAGCGTACGCACACCTCTTGTACGGACAAAATATGGACAGGCGTAACCTCAACAGCAAGCATATGAGCCTAAAATGGGTGTGAACACAGGCTAACACGGAGGGAGCTA